TATTATGAATATGGATTTGCAATCGAAGTACAAGGAGAACAGCACGAGAAATATATAGAATTCTTTCATAGAAGAGATCCGAATAATTTTATTAAACAGCAAGAGCGGGATCAACTCAAGAAAGAATTATGCGAAGAGAATTGGATTGCCTTGAGGTATGTTTGGTATTACGAAGACCCATATTTAGTTATTCCTGAGTATCTTCGAGAATTTGGTCTCATTAAATAAAGGTAGAGCTTTAAATGCTCCATGATCATTGCATATTTGCGGTATTTTTCGTAACAGAATATTTTTGCATATCAATCATGCGTGTTATTTTTCGTAATATTTAGAGGAAAAAAAATATCAGGATTCTGATAATTCCGAAAAATCTTAAGGAGTTAGGAGTTATAATACTTTAGAGCAATATTATTTTTGTTCTAACCAGTATAAACCCGGAGTTAGAATTAGAACAAAATACATCGCAATTTACTCAAGTAACATGCAAATTCGCAAATTTATTATCAAAGCAATTGACCCATTTGGCCTATATACTAATTTATACAAATGATTTTTTTTCAATCTTTCCACCATTCTCCTAACTTCTAATCCCTACTAATCCGTTTTTTTACGTTTCTTACGTAAATGATCATCTTCAATATGCTTCACTAAGAGGTAACCGTTGTTGAAAGTTTGTAAACAATACGAGCAGAAATGATGTAGATTTTCATCTTCTGATTCTGATGATTCTGATGATTCCTGTAGTTGAATCATAAAATAAATGAATGAATCTATGGCATAAAAACAATAAAAATGAACAACCACTCACTTGCGACATTGCTTCTTTTATCTTCCATACTTCTAGCTTAAAACCTGGCAAAGTATTACTTCCATCCAAATCTTTCCACCTATATTTATAGCGGTGACAGCCATTGTTGATGTTGGTTCGCTTGTAGACCCAGATCTGATCGTTAATAGGATCAATTAGCCAACCGAGCTTAACAGATGTACTTAACGCAAAGTAAGCGTCTTTGAATTTGGAATCCAGTTCATGGAATTTCACACTATTTGTATCTTCCATATCATCAACCTCCACGACAAGCGTAGGGCTGAATGCTGGGCCTCGAAAGGAGGTACCTTGCACCTTAGTGAGACTGCAATAAATTTCTTTTGGAGTAAAGGCGACATCTGGTGCTCGAATCTCTCCCGTTTCGAGTCGAAAGCCTCCTTGCGAACAAGTCACTACACCGTTTTGACCAGTCTGAATGTTCCAAGTACTGATTTGTCTTCCGATTTCTATTACAGCAGATTCCTTGAAAATTGGTGTTTGTGGCATGGGAACGAGCTTGTTAGATTTATCAAGTTCGAAGTGACTGATGGGAACGATTTTCCCTTCGATTTCGATTTCCAAGGAACGATTTTTGAGCTGATCGTTTATAATTTCAAACTCTTTGAGAGTGTAAGTACGATCTAGGTCCAAATGATCCAAGTCCAAATAATCTGTTATTAGCTTAAACGGTTCGTCGTTAAGTTAACTAAGATTATTTGCTAACAGGGAGTTTAAGTTCGTCTAAACTAT